TAACTTAAAATCTGGTAGGACAGTCTTCAGAAATATCTTGGCTATTCTTGGCCCTTTGCTTTTCCAAATAAATTTTAGAATTAACTTGCCAAGTTCCACAAAAACAAACAAATAAAATGATACACTGCAGGGTTTTTACTGAAACAGCAACGAATTCATTAATGACAGGTTAACTGACATAATTACAAGAAAGTCTTTCTCCCTATAAACATCATATGCCCCCACATTTATTTAGGTCTTTAAGGTTTTCAATACATTTTTATAACTTTCTATATAAAGGTTTTGACTTTTTTGGTTTTTTCTGTATTTTATTTTTATTGTATTTTCTTCCATTACCATTTATCATCCCCTTTATACCCTCTCGGGCATCCACCCACACCCTCTCCCCCTCCCCTCCACAGTCACCACACTGTTGCCTGTGTCCATGAGTTCTTTTACTTTTTTGCTCAATCCCTCCACCCTCAACTCCCCCACCCCAACCAGGGACCTCTTTTTTATATTTATGCTTAGGTAGCATTTTTTTTTTACTATTGTGAAATACTTTCATTCCAGTTTTTCTTGTGAGCTGCTAGGTTAGAGTAATAGAACTGATTTTACTATATTGATCTTATATTCGGCAACTTGCTATTATAAAACCTAAAAATGTACCAGCAGACTTGAATTTTCTATGAAAATGTTAATACTGATGCTAAAGATAACCATTTTGTTCATGCCTTACAGCCTAATAACTTTTCTTCCCGTAACTAATAGCTCCAGTACAATGCTGTAGAGATGGGTTTACATGGAACATACTCATGTTGTTACTAATTTTTTTTTTTTATCCTCACTCAAGGTTATGTTCACTGATTTTAGAGAGAGAGGAATGGAAAGGCGGGGGTAGAGGTAGAGAGAGAAAACAGTAAAGAGGGAGAGAAATAGCAACAGGTTGCCTTCAGTACACGCTCCTGACCTGACTGGGAATTGAACCCGAAACCTAGGCATGTGCCCAGACTGAGAATTGAACCCGCGACCTTTTGGTGTACAGGAAGCTCCAACCAGCTGAGCTACCTGGGCAGGATCTGCTGTTGATTTTTAAAGCACTATTTTTAATGTGAAGCTATCAAGTATGTTTGCTATATGTTTTTCGTAGATGTCCTTTGTCAGATTATAGAATTTCTCTCCTACCCTCAGTCTGGTATGAGTTTGTACCCTAAAAGAGTGTTGAATTTTAATAAATGCTTTTCTGCATCTTTTAGGTGATATGGGATTTTTGTGGGGGTTTTTGTTTTCTTTTGTGGTTTTAAACTGTTCAGGTGGATAGTTACATTAATAGATTTTCTACTGCAGAACAAAGCTTGTCTGCCTAGAATAAACCCTTTGTTCAATGTGGTATTTCCGTTATACATTGTTGAATTCAGCTTTCCTACTTTTTTTTGTTTTGTTTTCCCTGTCTCCCCCCAATTATAGTTGACATTCAATAGCAGCTTACCTAATGATTTGTGATGGCCTCTTTCTCCACTGCTGTATTTTATACTCTCTGAACATATTAAACATTCATTTTATATCCTGTATCTAGACACCTAGAATATTTGTAGCCTCTGAATGTCTGACCAAATAGTTTCCTAATTTTGCTGATTAACTCACTGTGACTTTCTTTTAAGTGTGAGTTCATGTTCCTAGAAACTTTACCTGTGTCTATTCTTTAAGGTCTGTGTTCCTGTATTTCCTCAGGAGGATTTGGTTTCTCAATCCTAACCACCTCATGCTACTTTTCACTAAATTTTTATCTTTTTCGGGGGTGGGGAGTGAGAGTGAGTGAGTGAGTGTGTGTGTGCGCGCGCGCGCATGCTATTCAGGTAGCATGATCCAGTGAGAGTGGACTTCTAATTACAATTTCTCAGGGAAGATCATTTTACCTTTCTAGTGAAAGACAAGCTGAGACAGGCAACCCTCCGTACCTCACTCCTACTCAGCCCACCCACTCCTGCACTGTGGAACAGGTTTACAATTTCTTTCCCATGTTTTCCTACTGACTTCTTTCAAGCAGTTTCAGCTTTATAAAGGGTCTCTGGGTCTGTCTGCTCATCTTGCTTGATCCCTAGTCTCAGTCTAGTACTCCACAGTCACCCTACAAGATCCAAAGCCCTAGGATTCCAGAGATACCAGCACCCCCAGCACAGCAACCAGTATCACCAGTTGCTTACCTCCCTGGATTCAGTGTTTCTTGTTTTTCACCTTTGGTAAGTTTCCTTACTTGCTTGTCAGCTCAACTAGGCATTTAAAAGACAGTCTGACTATTTGGTCCAGTATTTTTAATGTTTCATAAGGGAGGATTCAAAAAAAAATTCTAATCTGCCACACTGCCCAAAGCTGAAGCCTCTGAACATTTTGAATAGTCTGCTAAGTATGTTTGTCCCCAAAAGACTGTACCTCTACTTCTAAAATCCAAAAGAAAAATGGTTCATTTGGTTAACAAATATGTCCCAGACACGAGGCACCTGGTATATAGATCACTAACTAAATAAGGATTAATGCACTCGAAGACCTTATATGGGAGGAGAGGTGCAGACAGCAAAACAATAAACAGAAGTAAACTGAATTGTATCATAGAAGATAGTAAGGGCAATGGAAAAAAAGAAGAAATAGGCAGAAAGATTAAGAATGGGGGCAGGGGAGCTGCGAGCTTAAGTAAGGTAGCTATTACTAAAACATTAAGTATTTCCCCACAACATAAGTTAATTTTTATTAAACATAAAGTTATAGGAAACTCTAAGTATTCTCCATTTTTGATGTGAAATAGGATAACAAGCATTCTACAGACATGTTAATACTCCATGACTCCATTTACTTCAAAGAATAGGGGCACACTGTAATAATTAAAGATGTTGCTCAAAAAGTTATGATGCTACCTAGTCAAAAAAATAAAATAAACAAAATGTAAAAACAAAGTTATGGTGAGATCAAAGTAGGCATTTAAATATTTACTGAAAGAACGGTTAAATAAGAATTATCTATCCTATTTCCAAAAATAATTAGAAGTTAATTGCTATCACTATTAGGCAATTCTTTTGAATGTTAAACTTAATCAAGAAGGCAATTTGTCCAATTATATCTCATTCTATCTTTTATGAAGATGTGCCCTATTTGTAACTCTTTAAAATAGATTGTTCTCTTTTCATGTGAAGAATCTTTTATGGAGTTATTAAATCACACCTTAAAATATGTAACTCCAAATCAAAGACAGTAATTTTCAGTCCTGTAATTATTTCACTGCTTTTCTCTGTATCCCTCAATTTTTCCTTCCATCTCTTAAAAGGCAGACAATAAAGCTCAAGTTTGTAATTTATATAAATACTGCTGTAATTATATAAATAGATGATCTTTTTAAATGATACAAATAATAAATAATGTTGATAATTAATTAAAGTTCCAGCAGAGCCACTTTATGATGTCTGTCAGATGACACTCCCAAAGGAAAGGACCTACAAACTTGAGACAGGATTTACTTGCAAAAACACAAAAGCTTTATAGAAAACATCTTGTGTTCCTTTTTTCAAGACAAAAAAATTAGAAACATGTAGTAACAAAATAAACGGACTTGAGAATGTTTACTTAAGCAGACAATTGACTATTTTAACATAGCAGTGTAACTGAAATCAGCTAGCGTAATGATGCTTAGAAGCCTGGTCCAAGCTCCAGTCTCACTCCTGCCAGCTACCATTCTCCACTCTACAGACCCTGAGAACTCCTCCTGTACTTGATCAGTAGAATTAGACTGCTCCCCCCTCCTTACTTTTGCCTGATTATATATTAAGCCTTGATTCAATTTTATTTTACATACTCTCAAATGGGCAAAGAGAATGAACTGTCTTTTAAAACCTCGAGTTATGTAATGTTTAATGACAAAAATATTTCTATAATGTTGCCTCAAATTTCAGTAAATTTTCTTACTTATACAAAATTGGAAAAGTATACCTCAGAACAAAATTAGGTTTCTGGTTGCAATTAAATCTTTTCTTTTTCTTTCTTTCTTTTTTTTTTTTTAATGAAAGCAAACCAGGGATCATGTACTTAAGGGAAAATAGCTTTATAAAATATTAACACTAGTATTTTGATGCTTAAAATGTAGTAAACTGTGATACATTAAAAAGCCATTAAATAAAATAATGAAAGTTGAAACTATGGTACAGAGTAGAGAATCACCACAGTATGCTCATTCTCTTATACACATAATATTCCCACTGCGGAGGTATTAACCCCTTGGCCAGTTTAGCAGCTCAGTCAAGGAATGAGGAAGAAAGGGTAAAAGCAGGGCTCCAGGGACATCCCCATGCCTCCCTCCCTAACCCCCAACACATCCGCACTTCACCCAAACAGCTCCACCTTTCTCTGTTTTAGAGATTGGAGCTTGTAGAAGGTATTATTTGAAAACATTACTCCTGCTACTAAAAAGTTTGAAAACCATCCACCTATAGCAGCAGATCTTAGAATGGTGGCACAGGGACCCCCTTAAAAGGATCATGAGGACCTCAAAAGGTTCTTTTCATGAGTCTGCAAGGTCAAAACTATTTTATACTAATACCAAATCATTATATGCCTTTACTTTCATTCCATTATGAACATATAGCTGAGTTCCAGAGGCTACATGTGATAAAGAAGACTGAATACAAAAGAAGATTTGAAAATCTAGCTATGAAAAGCCACACCTTAATAAAAACCGCACAAATGTAAAAAAACAATGCCACATTACTAATTTTTTTTGTTTTGGAAAGCAGTTATTTTTCATAAATCTAGATTAACATTATTATGGATGTATTACTATTAAGTGAATTAATGATTTTTTAAATGTCTAGGCTTTTATCTTTAATATGACAAATATCAATGGACATATAGCCACAAAACAAAAATTCTTTGAGATTCAATAATTTTTAAGTATAAAGGGGCCTACAGAATAATACTATTGAGAACCAATGGTCTCTAAGATAAAATCCAAAATTCATAGTGAAAAAATCCATATTTACATTCATTCCACAAACATTTATTAAACGTCAGCTTTATGCTAGATTCTAGGTGCTGGGGATACAACAATAAATGTGACAGACCAGGTTCCTGTTCTCATGGAACTGTAGTCAAGTGTTGGGCTCTAGATAATAAACAAAAATAAACTGTCAGCTAGTCAGGCGCACTTCTTAAATGAAAAAGAGAGATGGTATGTCAGCAAGGGTCTGGGCAGTTCCCTCACACTGAGTGATCTGGAAAGGCTGCTCTGAGGCAGCATCACTGAAGAGGAGGCTGGAAGGGCCAGAAATATGCAGTGGAAGAGCATCTCATGCAGAGCCTTCGCGACTCTGCCGAACATAACTCTGACCACACTTCAGCTTCCACTCGGCACCTCCTTCAGGTTCCCTGCTCTTTAGTTGCATCCATCCACCCCTAGTTCCCAATATGGCACACTGTCTCTTGCTTCTGTGCCTCCATGTGTTGTTCCTTCTGTCTCAAATGCCCCCTGCCTGTCCATCTGCCAAATGTATATAAGACTCAGGCCAAAGTTCTGTGAAGGCAGAGGTTTTGTACTCTCAGGACCCAGGGCTGTGCCTGCTGTTACATTGCTGGGGCTCAGGGAACCTCTCCTGACCTGCTCAGATGGCTCCCTCTGTAACAACCACCTCTAATGTCATCTTGCAGTTTTATTTTTGTATGCCAAGTTTACCAACTTGACTATGAGTGCCGGTAGGCATTTTTGAATTCACAATGCCTGATTCACAGCAGTAGGTGCTTAAAAACTATCAAATGACTAAATCCTTGAACCACTTTTTTTTTACTCTAACTGTAATTATTTTTAACTTCATCTCTTTAACACAGAAATTATATATTATTTTTCTATCACCAACTGAGTCTAATACTGAGCCTTATCCATTACACAATAGTCCATAAACGTTCATCAGATTACTGAACTAAATTTCATCTGTAAAGCGATTTATAAACTTAAGAGTCATTTTGTAAAGGGCAACATTCTCAAACAGGAACATACCCTGTTCTGTTTCTACACTAATGTACAAGAGGTAGCTGGTATTCACATGATGGTTCTCAGCTCCCAGGTCAGTGTTTAACAGAAGCAAAGACTCCCTGTTAGACACTGGACTGTAGTAAAAACCAGCCAAAACCTGAAAGTTAAGTAAAGTGGATTCAGCATTCTAGCTGGCAACTCCACATACACAAGCAAAACAGTAAAAGACAACCCCCAAATTATTTAATTTAGAAGGGTGCCAGCTCTTATTGTTTCTCATCAACTGAGATGATTTCTGTTATGGGTGAGGCAGCTCTACTACATGGTAGCTGTTTATATTATAAACTCTTTTAATTCCATCGTGCTCTTAACTTTCACATTCTTTGAACAATTTGTTTACTCAAACTTTTGTACTAGTTCTCTTCAGTTGGTTATCCAGTGTATTCTATAATGCTAAAAAAGCAGGTCTAATTTGCATTATATTGTCTGAGTTAAAATACCATATAAAATTGGGTAAGCTAATAAAACAAGAGGCAGAATGCCTCCCTAAGTAGCTATTGGAAGGCCAACATTCATGTTTTAAAGTGATTTAACCATGAATTATGTAGGTAACAACCTGCTTCTATTTATTTCTCTCAGAAGTCATAATTAAAGTGATTTTGAAAAACCAAAAATATTACTAATAAAAGCAATTAAATTAATTTTTAAAATTATAGTGACAGGGGTGTATATCTACAGCAGGTTTTCAATAATAAATACATGCTGCCTGTTATTCTTCCATGTGCCTACAAGCAATGGGACATCTGCCACACTTACACAGGCTCCATTCTCAGTTTGTAAAGAGTTTATTATCTACACTGTAGATTATAAGGGCCCTTTGCTTCTCTTCATTTCCCTTCCTGTTGGTCCTTTCAGTGCTCATTAGAGCTTTTAGAGAACTTAAGGAAAATAAAGAAATTTAAACTGAAGCCAATAAACTTTGCAACAGGACAGAAACTATAACAAAGGCTTATTTTTAAACCATTATTAGATGGAAAATTGGGAAATAATTCAGGATAAAATTCTTTGGGATTATTTCAACTACCCATGCCATTATATTTAGGACCACTAAGAATGAATAACAGTAATTTTAAATTACAATGACTAAATATGTCTACAGATTTAAACGTAGCAAAAAAATCAAAACCTTCATAATACCCACTTTTTTAAAAAAAGGTTTTATTTATTTTTTAGAGAGAGGGGAAGGGAGAGAAAAATAGAGGAAGAGAAACAGCAGTGTATGAGAGAAACACTGATCAGTTTCCTCTCATGCACCCCCAATCAGGGGCCTGGCCCACAACCTAGGTATGCGCCCCACCTGGGAACTGAACTGGTGACTTTTGGTTTTCAGGCCAGAGCTCACTGAGCCATATCAGCCAGGGCAGAATATCCACTATTTAAATACTGAGGTCTTAGTCTTGCTATACAGTACTAAGTTGCAGGTAAATGTTATACATCCTCATCTATAAAGGAGGGGCCTGTACTAAATGAACCCAAAGATTTTTTTTGAAGGGCAGGTTTCATAGAACTGTGACCTGTGCAGTCACAGCAAGGCCCTACACTTAGAAGGTCTGCACATTTGCTTAAATGCTCTTCTGTCAGCATCTTGAAATTCTTTTTTTAAATAAATACTTTTTTAAAAAAGATTTTATTTATTTTTAGAGAGGGGAAGGGAGGGAGAAATACAGGGAGAGAAACATCCATGTGTGGTTGCCTTTCATGCACCCCCTACTGGGGACCTGGCCCGCAACCCAGACATGTGCCCTGAGTGGGAATTGAGCTTGTAACCCTTTGGTTCACAGGCCAGCACTCAATCCACTGAACCACACCAGCCTGGGCAGCACCTTGAAATTCTTAATCATTTTTAAATAAGAGGCTCCACATTTTCATTTTGCACTGGAGTAACAATATATAGCTGGTCCTATTCCCTGAAATTCTAACACTCTATGATTCTACAAAAGTACACCTCCATGGTTCCGGGCATAATGAAGACTAAACAAACAAAATTGAATTGACCAATGTTCCATTAGTTTCAGAAGGACTTTAAGAACAATTTTCTAACCTCTATCAAAAAGAATCAAATATATTGAAAATATTCAAATGTTAGGGATTGATTTCATTTTTAAATGTGAAAAATATTAAGTATTTGTGATGTCATTATTACAATTCATGTCTTCCTAGTAGAGAATCTAAAAGGCTTGGTACTAAGTAAAGAGCAAGCAGGTGACTATAATCAGTATCAAAAAAAAAAAAAAGCAATTCACTTTGTCCCCTAGTCATGATTCTCTCAAATGCTTCTGACTGTATCTGTCTCTCCCACCTTCCATTTCTTTTTTAATAATTCTCTTAGAGGAAAACTTTTTTTCCTGACAGCCTCAATAATATCTATATTGTCAAGAATTAAAATGTAGAGCTGTAATTAATCCAAATAAACTCATGTACAGCAGTGCTTTCAACTTACACATTTAACACAGGGGTTCCCAGCCCCCCACCCCAGGCCCACAGCTAGAAATGAGCCGTGGGCAAGCAAGGGAAGCTTCATCTGCATTTACAGCTGCTCCCCACTACTCGCATTACCACTTGAGCTCCTGTCAGATCAGCAGCAGCAGTAAATTCATATACGTGCACAAACCCTCCTGCGAACTTTGCATGTGAGGGACCTAGGGTGCATACTCTTTACGAGAATCTAATGCCTGGTGATCTGAGGTGGAGCTGAGGCGGTGATACTAGTGCCAGGGAGCGACTGCAAAGACAGACTATCTTTAGCAGAGAGGTTTGACTGCACAGACACCATAATAAATCAATTACTTGCAGACTCATATCAAAACCCTATCAGTGAATGGCAAGTGACAATTAAGCTGCATCTGGTCGGATAGCTGCATTTGGTGGCAGGCTTTAAGTCAGAATCCAGCACTTATTTTAGTCCACACATGGTCCGCCCATTATTTTACTTACCATTTCCATCTGTGCCTCTTTCCTACACTGCGCACTTGCCTCAGTCACAGTTTTGGTAAGCCCACATGCCAACCCTAGCCAAAATGAGTAAAAAACAAGTATCACTGAAAAGCTTCTTTGAATGGGGGGAAGACCCAATGATGATACAGCAGAAGACTCTAGGATTGCCAACAATAACAAAAAGCTTCATTTCAAAGAAAATATCAAGAGTCCTACTTAAATTATGGGTTCACTGCAACAGGTGATTCACATTTTCTAAGCACGCTTCGTATAATATGTGGTGACCAGCTATCCACAAAGCCATGAAACCTTCAAAACTGCTTTGCCACGGGGAGACCAAGCATCCTGCATTGTAAGTCAAGCCTTTGGAGCTTTTCAAAAGAAAAAATAAAACATGACTACGAATAACTGAAGCCATTACTGAAGGCGACCACTTCATCAAATGTGTTTGCATTGAGAGCATCATTCTTAGTGGCCATCCACACTGCTAAAGTTAAGAAGCCGTTTACTACTGATGAAGAGCTGGTCCTGTCTGCTGCTAAGAACATTTGTCATCAACTGTTAGGAGAGGCTGCAGTTCAAAAAGTGACACATGTTCCTCTTTTGGCTAGCACTATAACTGGATGAATTAACTATAACTGGAAGAATTGAGGCACAATTGTTAGAGAGGATTAATGGGTCACCATGATATGCATTACAGGTTGATGAGTCTACTTATGTTGACAACAAGGCATCAATGTTTGTTTTTGTGCAATATATTTTCAGGGGAATGTGAGTGAGGATATGTTATGTGCACTTTTGTTGCCAACCAACACCACAGCTGCAGAACTATTCAAGTCTTTGAATGATTACATATCAGGAAAACTGAATTGGTCATTTTGTGTCAGTATATGCACGGCTGGAGTGGCTGCCATGAGCGGACAGCTTTCTGGTTTCACTACTGGAGTTGAAGAGGTTGCTTCTGAATGAGTCTGCTACGCAATGTATCATCCACAGAGAAATGCTGGCTAGATGAAAAATGTCACCACAACTTAATAACGTTTTCTAGGATGTGATTAAAATTATCAACTACATTAAAGTACATGCCCTTAACTCATATCTCTTTGCACAGCTCTGTGAGATGGACACAGGGCACATACATCTT